GCATTGCCTTCAAAACAAGGCCCAGGGTAGCGCAGTCTGAAAGGGCTGACACACAGTGACACATCTCCAGGGCAAAGTTCCGTGTCAGTGGTGAATTTTGGGTGCTCCCAGTCAGTGGCAGATATAGGGCAGGGCGAGCGGGGCAGGTCCCGCGCTTCAAGAAGCCCCGCACATGTGCTGTGGTGCCACAGCGCATGCGCCGTGTCAAAAGGGGGGGCCCCACGAAATTATGCTGCCTCGGACCCCACAAAATCCTCATCCGCCCCTGCTCCGAGTCATCCTCTTCGATGCCAGTGAATTTTCCCCCAGCAAAGTCCTCCAGCGCCCTCTTCTGCCACTCGGCAAAGTCACAAAAAACAATAACCTCCCGATAATAACAGCCTCATTCCACATTCCCAGGGTATGTCTACCCTCCAGAGCTTTTCCACAAAAACAGCCGTTTTACTGGAAAAACAATACTGACATCCACACTGGGATTGCGTTCTTTCGACAGAAAGTCGCAAGAACGGAGGGCTTTTCCGATGGCAGTAAACCTCATTCTGAGGAAGAAGCCTTTCCCCGAAAAAGCTTTTTCGGAAAAAGGTGTGTGTGGATGCGGAAGAGAGTGGTTTTTCGAAAGAAGAGGCCTCCAGGAAAAAGCACAGGTGCCCTGGTGGCCACTCCGCCCACAGTAATCACAGCTGAACTGCGAGAGAGCGTCCAATCAATGTGGGTGCTGTCTTTCGAAAAAGCACATCGCTTTTTCCTTGCACTTTTCCTGTGTAGATGCCCTCTTTCGAAAGAAGTTTTTCCATAAAATCTCATCCGGAAAAAGCTTCTTCCGAAAGAAGCATGCAGTCTAGATGTAGTCCCAGGAAGCACTGCTCGGGATAGCTGGGATACATGGACCAGCCCTGGTTTGTCCTTTCTCGGATGATTCCTTCCTGGCACCATGCTCTGCCTCCTCCTGGCTCCTATCCCAGGACTTCCCCGGTTAGCCGCTCGGTCCCTACCAGGATCCAGTCGGGGTCCCTCTCCCTGGAGTTCCAGACACACCCACCCTGTCGTTCTCCCGTCTCTGCTCCCCTACAACCACCAATAGCACTTCAAACAGCCCTTTCCCCTCACCGGAAAATGATTTTCTCAACACCCTGCACTTGGAACTGCTAGTGAGGGGCCAACCCACCTAATAGACCTCCTGCGCTGCTCCCTGCCCCACAGCACCCCCTAGTGCCTCACCTGGGTCAGCACTGCCTAGAAAGAGACAGCGCCCCTACTGAAACATCAGTCTACTCCCCTTCCCCACAGCACCCCCTAGTGCCTCACCTGGGTCAGCACTGCCTAGAAAGAGACAGCGCCCCTACTGAAACATCAGTCTACTCCCCTTCCCCACAGCACCCCCTAGTGCCTCACCTGGGTCAGCACTGCCTAGAAAGAGACAGCGCCCCTACTGAAACATCAGTCTACTCCCCTTCCCCACAGCACCCCCTAGTGCCTCACCTGGGTCAGCACTGCCTAGAAAGAGACAGCGCCCCTACTGAAACATCAGTCTACTCCCCTTCCCCACAGCACCCCCTAGTGCCTCACCTGGGTCAGCACTGCCTAGAAAGAGACAGCGCCCCTACTGAAACATCAGTCTACTCCCCTTCCCCACAGCACCCCCTAGTGCCTCACCTGGGTCAGCACTGCCTAGAAAGAGACAGCGCCCCTACTGAAACATCAGTCTACTCCCCTTCCCCACAGCACCCCCTAGTGCCTCACCTGGGTCAGCACTGCCTAGAAAGAGACAGCGCCCCTACTGAAACATCAGTCTACTCCCCTTCCCCACAGCACCCCCTAGTGCCTCACCTGGGTCAGCACTGCCTAGAAAGAGACAGCGCCCCTACTGAAACATCAGTCTACTCCCCTTCCCCACAGCACCCCCTAGTGCCTCACCTGGGTCAGCACTGCCTAGAAAGAGACAGCGCCCCTACTGAAACATCAGTCTACTCCCCTTCCCCACAGCACCCCCTAGTGCCTCACCTGGGTCAGCACTGCCTAGAAAGAGACAGCGCCCCTACTGAAACATCAGTCTACTCCCCTTCCCCACAGCACCCCCTAGTGCCTCACCTGGGTCAGCACTGCCTAGAAAGAGACAGCGCCCCTACTGAAACATCAGTCTACTCCCCTTCCCCACAGCACCCCCTAGTGCCTCACCTGGGTCAGCACTGCCTAGAAAGAGACAGCGCCCCTACTGAAACATCAGTCTACTCCACTGCCCCACAGCACCCTCTAGTGGCTCACCCGGGTCAGCATTTCCTAGAAAGAGACAGCGCCCCCTGTTGAACCCTCACCTTGCTCCCTGCCGCACAGCGCCACACCCTGCTGGGGCTCAGCTCCCCACCACTCGCTGTGTGTCTCGCAGGTGCGTGCCCAGGTCACGTGAGGCCCAGGAGACGACGTCCGAAGAGCTGAGCCGTTCCAGCAGCCCGCTCAGGGGGGTGTCCCCCCCAGCCAAGAGCTTCCAGGCCCTGGGAGTTCCAGCCGCAGCTGCTGATGTGTTCGTCCTGCCCCTAAACCCCGGGGGAATCCTGGAACTAAACGGCCTCTCCACAGCCTCTCGGCTCATTAAAGCACATTTGGTCTGCAGACACGACCTGCGTGCGGTTGGTGCATTTACTGCTCCTGAACAACGGGGCTTGAGCGCGAACATGTGTGTGCGCTGGGGGCTGGGCGGTCGGTGTTGGGATCACAGGACACAGAGGGAGGTGAGTGGTGCTCTGGGGTTTCAGCAGACATTGGACAAAGTCCAGAGAACACATTCCCTCTCCTTCCCCTCCCCGCCCCCGAGTCAGAAATCGAACCCAGGAGTCCTGATTCCCAGCTTGCTCTGCTCCAACCCTTTAACCCCACTCCCCTCCCCAAACTGGGGACAGAACCCCAGAGTCCTGAGTCCCTCCCCCCTCCCCCACTCTAACCCCTGGACCTCACTCCCCATCTTTGTTGGTGCTCAGTGGCCAGTGAGCAGAGCCGCGCACTGCCTGGGAGTCCAGAAAACCGGTTTATTGACGACACTTGCAGGTTGTTATATGACACAAACCGCAGGGACAGGTTCCTTTTTTCCCGCTGATGTGGCTTTTGTTGTCCATCCATGTGCAGAATAAATTTGTCATGTGCACCAAGGCCTGCGAGAATGTGCACCACCAATTGAAAAACAAAACCTCTCCGTGGGCACGCTGCCGATCAGCTGGGCAGCATTTCAGTTTCTCCCAGGAGGCCGCACAAACACTCAGCTTACAGGGAACTCTGGAAAGTCCCAAGAATTGGGACTTTGTCTTACAGAGGCCCCTAGTACCCCCTTCACCCTCCTGTTCTGATGTTTCCCATTTGCTGTCTGGTCACCCAATGGCTGGAGAAAGGGAGGCTTCAATAGATGGAAGCAGGCGCAAGGGGACGTGGGATTGGATCAGAGCCCAGGAGCGCCCCCTGGAAGAGAAAGGCCCCGACCCATTCCCCACCCCCAGGGGCCTGGATTCTGTATTTGCCATTGCTCCCTGGAGGGCGATTTCCAAGCAGGATTTGCTGGGCCATCACCTCACACGTGCGCTAATGACACAGACCTTGGCTGCAGCCTTTCAAGCATGCTCTGTCCCATCCCCCCCCCAGGTTGGGCGCAGG